AATTTCATTCAACAAGGAACACCAACATGTGGCAGCTCTGTTTCCAGGTTGTAATGCTGAGATGAATAGCACCTTTCATAACAGAGTCCTCAATAACCTCTGGACTTGATCCTGAAAACACTTTGTATGTAATTATGTTGGCTTCAGCTGTACTACTTCAGGGTGGGTTTCACTCACTTAACATTAGACATTTAGAAGCAGACATGTAGGCTCCCTCTGCAGTCAAAGGAGAGAGATGTAAAGCACTAAAGAACAAGTGGTGTTCCTTGTCTGAAGTATTTTTAATTATTTTTTTAAATGATGGGATGCGTCATCATAGAGGGAGGTTGGTATCAACCTCTTTTGACTGCGTAAGGAGCAGCTATAATTCAAAACCTAGGTTTTATGCTGTAAGTTTATCTGCAAATTTGAGTGCATATGTTTTTGTTGAGCGAAGTCTGGGATCCATACACTAGTCAACTGAGCTACTTGTGGAGAGACCAAATCAGCACAATATCCATAACTTTATTTAGTGTAAAGTATATATTAGTACTGAATGATGCCTCCCTTGGCAGGAAAGTGGTAGTCTAAAGGCCACAGGTGCTATAGTACAATCAGATCTGGTTGCAGTTATGGTCTAAATGGGAATAGTATGCAAGAAGGACCCACTTCATCATATGGACCAGAACCATGGCGATGGGGTGAGGGGTCCATCTACTATAATCTCCACTTGGCCTGCTAGGAAAAGTGAGTTGTGCTCCTAAAAAAAGTTGTATTGAATTATGAAGAAAAAAAAAAAAAGAAAATAGTACTGGTGTTTTCCCAGCAACTCCCCACAAAATACACCTCTAATTCAAAATGCAGCTATGCAGCTTGCTGTGGATTGTCAAGATACTCAAAATATGATGATGTAGGGATTTCACTAAGCTTCTGGGATTTGGCTTCCATTCACTGGGATTCAGATGCCTCAATAACCTCTTTTGGCTAGGCTATGTTTCTTGTACAGAGAAACCCAAACTTAAACCTTTGAAGTTTCCCTCTAGATTCTCAAAACCCACAGCTTCCATATATATATGCCTGTCTGAATTAGAAATGATGGGGTGATCTTCAAGTTAAGAGCCCCTATCCTTCAAACTTGTTGCAGGTATTTCAGGAAAGGATTTAAACAGAACACCAATACGGAACACAGGAAGCATGTAAACAAACCTACTGTACCAACTTACTGTTTTCAACCTTCGGACAGTGCTGAAAAATCCCATATTCCAGACAAATTTTGTACTGACTTGGCCAGTAGTATATTATCTTAAGCTACTAACAACAATCTGTTCTCACTGAGGAGCCTATAACAAATTTAATGTTTAGACTTTAAGGGAGACTATCTTATAATACAATCAAAATAGTTATTTATTGAGGACAGTGAACATGAGCCCACATAATGTATGCTGTAAATCACTAAGGCATGTGGTTCCATTTAACACTATTTTGCTTGAAAAGTGATCACTTAGAGGTAAGGTTTGCCCTAAATTGGGTAGGAAACGAAAATATCCAAGAATAAATAATAAATAGGGTGTGTTTTGGACAAAGCTATCTTTTAGAGGCGGAAAGAACATTTCTATCTATAGAAGCATTGCTTGGATTTTTGTCTTCTGTTAACCACAAGTACATATTTTCACTAGAAAAAACTGACTTTTGGGTATTCACAAAGATTTGTTCATGCTAAGGATAAACAGAACTAGATACCCTGTGTTCTGAGATAAGAAAATACATGGAACCATTTCTTGTAATAGTATTCATATTTTATTAAAATGAGGGGGAGGAGGGTTATTATTTCTACAGCCACTGTTGAGGGGAAGTGGAGTTCTCTGGACAGAGCTCAGAGCTGATTGTATTCTTACCCTCTCCTGCTTGGTGCTGAAACCCATAAATCAATACAGCAGTCATTGCCATTTAGGGAGAGCAGGATAATACCTTAAACCAATTAGTTCAACCACCAGTTTCGTTGAAAGTAGAAATATAGAAGTATAATTTATACAAAGTAGGAAAATGAGCTTCAGTTAATTTTTCATGGAAATTAATTTCTTGTCTGGCTCACAAAATACATAAAACCCTGAGCTCTCAAAAGTTGGTTTTCTTTCCTATCCCGGACATAAGTCAAAATACAGCAAACTCTTTTCTTGACATACTATTTATTTTACAGAGACTGAATGCATATCCAAGAAGTGATCTGTAGGCAAATTTTTTATCCTTCTCACCATATCTGGGTCAGATCTCACATGCGCTATGTGTCTGTCCTGATTCTAGCCCAGACAGGGTACATTTGGGCAGCAGCCAGGAGGAGTGTGGCCAGTACCCTGGGGCTATTGGATGCCACCTCATGTGGTGCACAGGGGGATGAAGGAGCAGGAGTGGTGGTTTTTTCTGCTTTTACCAGGGTGTAAGGGGGGTGTGGTCAGGCGATGCTGGTTCCACATGGTGAGCAATCCCTTGTGAATCATTCGCCTGTCTTGTGCACTGTGCTATTGGTGTGGTGGTTGTAACTTTTCCTTTTCTTATATCACTGCTGTTTCCAGTAAATTGTTCTTATCTCAACCCATTCTGATGGGCACCTTTTTGTCCCCCCAATTCTCTCCATCCTGCTGTTGGGGGAGGCAGGGAGGATCGAGTCGTCCGTGGTCTGAGGTGTTTCAGAAGGAACATTAAACTACAGTATCACAAAATCACAGAATATGCTCAGTTGGAAGGGACCAACAAGGATCATTGAGTCCAACTGTTAGCCCTTCACAGGACCATCCCCAAGAGTCACATCATGTGCCTGAGAGCATCATCCAAATGTTTCTTGAACTCTGTCAGCCTTGGTGCCGTGACCACTGTCCTGGGGAGCCTGTTCCAGTGCCCAACCTCCATCTGGGTGAAGGACATTTTTCTAATATTCAACCTACCCCTCCCCTGACACAACCTCAGGTCATTCCCTTGGGTCCCGTCACTGGTGACCACAGAGAAGAGATCAGTGCCTGCCCCTCCTCTTCTCCTCAGGAGGAAGTTGTAACTGCAATGAGGTCTCCCCTCAGTCTCCTCTTCTCCAGGCTGAACAGACCAAGTGACCTCAGCCACTCCTCACATGGTGTCCCCTCAAGGCCCTTCAACATCTTCATTGCCCTCCTTTGGACACCCTCTAATAGCACAGTGTCTTTTGGCCAAAACCGCCACAATATCCAAGGTGAGGCCACACCAGTGCAGAGCAGAGCAGGAGAATCACCTCACTTGCCCCGCTGGCAATGCTGAGCCTGATACCCCCCAGGACATGGTTGGGCCTCCTGGCTGCCAGGGCATTGCTGACTCATATTCAACTTACCATCAACCAGGACCCCCCCCCGTCTGTACATCTGGGGTGCCCCATATGAAGTACAAAATCTGACACTTTCCCTTGTTAACTTCATAATGTTGGTGATTTTCCAGTTCTTTAATTTGTTGAGGTCTCTCTGCAGGACCTTCCTGGCCTTGAGGGAATCAAAGACTCCTCTCAGTTTTATTTCATCTGCAAAGTTGCTTAGTATCCCTACTAATCCTGCCTCCAAGTCATTTATGAAGATGATAAAGAGAACAGGGCCTAAAATTGGGGAATGTCCTAAACCCTGACAACACCAAAGTTTGAACTAAAGTCATTTGAAATTGTAGATGCTTCATGAGACAGTTGAAATGTCGGGAGAGGATGGGGACTAAATAATGACTACATGGGGTGTGGCATTGCTTAATTTGTACCTAATCCTGTGATGTGCTCTGCAAAGTCAAACATTGTGAGCTGCAATGGAATTTAAACATGCTCAGTGTTTCAGAATCAGATCCTTTAAGACTAAGTTTGGATAATTACCCAGGAATTCAGCAACAAGAGAAAGACGGATATTTTAATTTTACCTAAATTTTTTAAGGAATATTTTTTTCTATCTTAGACTTTTTTTCTGCACTTTTCATAAAAGCTGCCCTTTTTTAGAAACATCAAGTAAATGGAGACAGATTATCTCTTATATCATCTAGCAAAAAATGAACTGAAATCTGCTCTTACTTGGGAGCTGCAGGGGCTAGAAATGCCTCCCTTCCTGCATTCTCACACCCAGTAGGATTTCTCCTCACGCAATGTCACAGACTAGTAGAACTGAAGGAGCCTTGACCTTCTCTTTCTGTTCTGACTGCTTCTTGTTCTCAATGCTTTAGGATTAGATAGAATTTAGGATGATCAGGTAAAATACAAAACTAAAGGGCTTATAGAGACCCTTGTCCACAAGGTTTTGCAGGCACAGTCAGTGTTTGCAATATTATATTCCTCAATCATTGTGTGTGGTGGGAATCAGGATGCAATATAGATGCAATATAAATGCTTGATTCCCTGGGATGACGTGCATACATTTATTCTAAAAAGAGAAAGAAAGAAACAAACAAACCAAGACAAAAATCTCTTTAAGAAGAAATACTTCCATGAATAAATCAGATTACAAGTGCAATGCCAAGAATCTGTCCAAGTTATATTATAATGAAAGCAGCAGATCCCAGCCATGGTTTTAAAGCTTGTTGAGGTGGGACATAAAATCAGTGTGTGCTACTGTGCAGGTGTTGCGTTATGATTGCCAACACTGGAATAGAACAGTTTCTCCTCTTCCCAAACTGGTGAGAGGGAAGTGAGCAGAGGAATCTTGGTCAGTGTTGTGTCTGAATTTTAGTTTATTGCGAGTGTGGAATCCAGTCTGCCAATATGCTTGCACAGTAATTGTAGGAATTTAGTGATGCAAGGCACCCCAAGGAAGAAAATTTAGTGGCTGAGTGACACATATGGGCACTTGAGGCTGACTGGATCTGTGCCCAGTGGATTGGTCCATCCCCATCCTTACAAAGACTTCCCCACTTGTGGATCCTTCACTGCTCCAGTTGGCCTACCAGTAGATGAAGGTAAATCAGTTCTGCACTCTGGTGCCTTTATTCATGATGTTTGACACTTTCTTGTCTGCTGCTGGAAGCAAAGGTAGGGATAGATGGCTGGGAACAAACACTTCAAGGACATCCAGGTTTGTGAATCGATACCTTATTTCTTGTCAGTAAAGATTGGAAGGTCTCCTTGAAAATTTTCATAGTTGAACATGAGTTACAGGATCTTCTCGTGAAGGACCTCAAAGTCACCAGATGAATAATTGTTCAACTGAAAGAGACTTACTAAGTATGACTTAGCCCAACATTTGGAAAACAAATCTCCTTCAGAGATATAAGCAACACCATTGCATTGCATCATGCTTCAGGCATTTGTCACTGCTTACAGAAGGAATAAGAGTGCTCAGCATAAAGATAAACACCTACAGCAGTGTGGCAGCATGTTGCTGTCTCATGTTTCTCTTACAGTCTTTACTAAAACTCCATCTATTTGCCTTGACAACTTAGCTCACATGAAAATAGTTTTGCCTGAAATGTGCCAGTTTGGCATCACAGTGTCTGGACAGAGTTCAGACTTATGACCAAGCACAAAAGGAAGGGAATGGAAAGTAACAAAACCAGCTGAATTCTCCCTAATTCTAGTTATTTTTGAAAGACCTATTTACTCATTTAATTCATGCTTGTATTGTTGTCCAATGAGAAAACAAAAATGTAGATATCTGATGATGAACTTCTGTTCTTTCATGAGCCACTCAGTTTTACAGGAAAATTGGACAGTTGCTCTAGGAACTGGGTGTGGAATTTTGTCTTAGGGGAGCCTCAAATTAGCTACAAAAGAAAAAAAATGGAGCAAAACCACTTCACTTTTCAAAAACATCTTTAAAAGAGCCTGTTGAATACTTCTTCCCAACAATAGTCGGTGTCCTTTCTGCAGGAAAAATATTGTCATCATCCTCACCATCATTATAATGATCACGTCTTCAAAATGTGGAAAAAAAACTTTTCCTATGAAAACTTTAGACAATTTCTGTAAAATTGGCAGAAATTCCTATATTTTTTGGATATTTCCAACACCCTTTTAAAAGCAAATGCAGTCCTGACCAAAATGGTTCCTCAAAGAGGTGACATTAATGCAGACACTGAGAAACTGATGTCTCCCAGTAAAGCTGTACTAATCTGCTCTGGGAATTTCTGAACAGTGGTTTAAAATACAATGCCAAGGAATGCATCAACTGATCTTTTACAATGATACTGTGCAGATGGTGACTGTCTTCTCAGCCTGTGTCCATGGCATGACCTCGTGTAACCCTGTTTGAGAGCCTTAGTAACCAGGAACACAAAAGCATGTTCATTCTCTGCTGTCTGCGCAGAAATGCTACGAACTCCATCAATTTTCCTTCAGCCAACAGCCACAAGAGGGCGGCTTTTTTCCTGGTTTCCTCCACTTCACTCAGTTAGGAGGTTAACTATTTCACAAATTAGTTTTTATAATTCTTAAAAGATAAATCTTCTGCTATATATTCTACTAAAAAAAAAGTGTTCTCTCATGATTTGCAAGAAGAAAAAGTAGCTGCTAAAATAAAACCATTTCCAACACCTTTTATTTTTTATTTTTTTTTTTTACTTTTCACAAAGACTGTCGACTGGTTTAACAAATGAGAAAAGGAGACATTCGTGCTGATTTCTTTTTCATAGGAGTCTGAAACATCTCCAGAATGTGAAATAAACAGAACTCTCCAGCATGTTTTCTTTTTTCAGGATTCATATTTTCAGAGTACCTCAAAGCCCAATTCTGTAGTCCAAATGATTGCTTAAAAAACCACAAGGATTTGTCTGCCATCAGCCTGCTCCTCATTTTCTTTTTGCTGAGTTTCTTCAGGTGCAGGAGGTGGTTACCGGCATAGTGCTTGAGATGTTCAGGGAGTGGGAAAAAGATAAAGTGCAAGAATAATTCTACAGAAATTCAAAACACAGACAGGGCTCAAATCTGCATCATACTCATCACAATTATATTTCTATTGGGCAGTACCATCCAGGGATTAAAGCAATGGAAAATTTTATCTATGATAATGTGGAAGTTGGGGTTTAAAATCTTCTTTCTTTTTTTTTTTTTTTTTTTTTTGAGAGAAGGGGTGAGGGGAAGGAAACGACCCGCGCTGGGGTCACGATCCGGCCACGCAAATAAGAAAGCGCTCCGAGTGCCAAACAACCTTGCTTTTGAAAGCAGCGTTTTGGGTTTGGTGGGGGGACACACAGGACGGGACGACACGACGCAGAGAGGGACAGGCTCAAACGTGGGTGCGGCAGGATAACTATTTCGGCTTCCCGACCGATTCCTTTCAAGTACCGACAGGCATTTGTACTTCAGAGGCCCTATTAGTCCCTTTTCACCTCTGTCGAGGTTGCCGGTCCCCCTTTGCGTAGCTCGCTGTTTGCGGGACCGAAACTCGAAACGGAGAGGGTGGTGGGAAGGGTGTGTCCGTGGGAATGAATGATTTCATTAAGGTCTCTGCGGAGCGAGGACACCCCTCTCCCGGGGAGCCCGGCTCGCTGGCTAACTCGGGCTCTGTTTATAAATAGTGTCACCAGTCAGGGTGCAGAAATGCTGCAGTCGCTATAGTCCACGGGCGGGTTTGCGCGCCTGCACGACCGGAGCGACGCCGAGACGTCGAGCGAGTTCCGCGGTGCCCAGGCCGCTGCCAGGGAGGCAGTGGCCACTGAAGGCAGCCACGGCGGGCTCCCAGGGATACGAAAATCCCCAGCCCTTTTAAAAGCCTTTATGGAAAATGGTGCATTCAGGGGAGGGGGCTGTCAAGGTGATGAATGCGCACAAAATTGTTCGTTACTTCCAGACTGTACTCTGCAAACACCTACGGGACAAGAGTCCGAGGTATGCACTGGGGTTTTTCTTAGACCCCGATTAAATCTCTGTCTTTGTGTGTCCTTCTGATTTCCGCAGCTGGATGCGAAGAAGAGTCCCCTGGCCCTTTTGGCACAAACTTGCTCGCAGATAGGGAAGCCGGACCCGTCCCCTTCATCCAAACTCTCTTCGGTCACCTCCAATGGCTCCGGAGGCGACAAGGACTCCAAGTCGGGCCCCTTGAAGCTCAGCGACATCGGCGTGGAGGACAAGTCGAGCTTCAAGCCGTACTCCAAGCCGGGCGCGGAGAAGAAGGAGCCGGGGGCGGCAGGCTGCGCGGGCGCCCCCGCCGCGGGGGTCGCGGCCGGGGAGAAGTCGGGATTCCGGGTGCCGAGCGCCACCTGCCAGCCGTTCACCCCAAGGACAGGCAGCCCCAACTCCAGCGCCTCCGCCTGCTCGCCGGGGCTGCTGCCGGCCGAGGGCAAAGGCGGAGAGGACAAGAAAGACTCGGAGGGCTGCGGAAAGAGCGGCAACTCCGGCTCAGAGGGAGGCCCGGGCACCACCAGCATCAGCCACAGCCGGATTAGCGTGAGCTGTGCCGGGATTAACGTGGAGGTCAACCAGCACCAGGAGAGCACGCCGGGCTCCAAGCCCATCGCATCGGACTCCGCCTCCTCCTGCAGCAGCACCACCGCCACCTCCTCCACCTCCGTCCTGGGCTCCGGCCTCGTGGCCCCCGTCTCCCCTTACAAGCCGGGACAGACCGTCTTCCCCCTGCCCCCGGCGGGCATGAGCTACCCGGGGACGCTG